TGCTATTTATGGTTGTTTATTGGGTGTGTTGAAGATAATGTTAAGTTTTACGATTATTATTTTTCTCAAATCATAACTTTTTATTTACTTCGGACCCCACTGTGAAAAAAATACTCTACCGAAAAGTGACCCTGTATTACAAGTTTTGGCGCATTTAATAGGGATTCTGAAAAGGTATTACACATGGTTATGCGTGGCTTTGATATCTTTTTTAGGACGATTATTCATGGCAAGGCCAAAGTTAACCCAACCATAAAACTCGGTTAGGCTTATTTAAAAATAAACTAGAATTAATACAATTAATGACAAAGACTCTCTGCCTCTCTTTTACACTAACTATTTAATCCTTTGTCAGTAAAAGGCCGGTTGGCCCGTCAGTTCAGGTAGCGATATCTTTTCTAGCAAACAAAAGGCTGGGCCGGCAGGGGCGGGGGCTGGGGGATGCGCGTGAGCATGTTTCTTTAGAATGTTTAGTGTTCTTTAGTAACTTGCTTCCTGCCTGTGGGTACGCACGTGTTCTTTTTCTCGGTTTTACGACGACTTGTGACCAGTTTCTTTCCTTTGACCTACGCTTTGTTTTTCGGACTTGTGATAGATTGCCTACCTGTGACCAGTGCTGTGTGAATCGGACGGATTGGCTACAAAAGTGGACAGATGGCTGCTGCGAGGAGAGAATACACCCAACGGGAGTATGCAGAAATGCATTACCTGTATGGCTTTTGCGACGGTAATGCCCGGGCTGCTGCCAGGGAATATCGTCAACGCTACTCTAACCGTGATCGTTTTCCGGATTACAGGGTCTTTATGCGCGTACATAATTCGTACATGGAGGGAGTCTTACCCGGTCAGCATGCTATGAGAGCAGGCAGACCAGTGATGCAATTTGAAAATGAAGATGAAGTGCTAAGAGAATTAAGATTGGATCCTAGTATAAGTCAACGCCAAATATCCAGTAATATCGGGATTCCAAGATCGACGGTGCAACGTGTCATTAACAGAAAAAAATATCACGCCTACCACGTGCAAAGGGTGCAAGCTTTGCTGCCCGGTGACTATGAACCTAGAGTGCGGTTTTGTAGAGAGATGCTAAGATATCACAGAGAAGATCCGCAGTTCTTTAACAAGGTTTTATGGACGGATGAGTCAACTTTTAGAAGAATGGGAGTATTCAATATCCACAATCTGTTTGGTATTAACATGTGGGCTGGTATAATTGGCCAGCAGTTGGTGCTGCATGAAATGCCAGCAAGGCTGAATGGTGCTCAGTATTTAAATTTTTTGCAAAATAATTTAAACCATATTCTTAACGAAGCTGAAGTTCCAGAAGAAAGAATAGCAGAAATGTGGCTGCAACATGATGGCGCCCCGCCTCACTACGCTCGAGCAGTCAGAGATCATTTGAACGAGCGCTTCCCCAACCGGTGGATTGGTCGAGGCGGACATGTTGCGTGGCCACCCCGGTCGCCCGATTTAAATCCATTAGATTTTTTTCTTTGGGGCTATTTTAAAGAAATAGTTTACCAAGGAGAGAACAATAGCGAACAAGAACTACGACAAAAGCTCGAGTTTGCTAGAGTACAAGTAACTAACAACAGAAGTGCATTCCGTAGGTTACGTAGGAATTTTATTAGACGGTGCAGATTATGTATTATGGTCAGAGGCAGGAATTTTGAGCATTTATTGTAAAATGTTTTGCTTAATAAAACAATTATTTCACAATCGTTGCTTTGTTTTTTCGTCCTAGAAAGATATTAGAGCCACTCATGGCCATGTGTAATACCATTTCAGAATCCCTATTAAATGCGCCAAAACTTGTAATACAGGGTCACTTTTCGGTAGAGTATTTTTTTTTCACAGTGGGGTCCGAAGTAAATAAAAAGTTATGATTTGAGAAAAAAAAATCGTAAAACTTAATATTATCTTCAACACACCCAATAAACAACCATAAATGGCATGTCTAACGCAAGGACTCATCGGTACCAATCTAGTGAAAATTATAAAAAAAGATAGAGGATGTTTATTTTTTGGCATTTTAATAAGAATTAGTTAAAAAAAAGTCAATTTTCTCATAAAACACAAAATAAATTATAACTCTGCAGGGGTTGACTTTAAGGACCTCCCGTAGAACAACTTTTTGCAGCTGATGACCCCATATAACCCCTAGTTGTGTTTGATCCACGACTTTTGGGCCAACCTGTATATATATATATATATATATATATATATATATATATATATATATATATATATATATTAATAAATTATGTATCTGTCTATATGTAATATCCAAAAGAAACGATATCTAAATACAATAATCATTTTGTGGATAATTATCGACAATAAAAAATAAACGAGGCTAATTATGATAAGGAGAGACATACATGTTTGTAGTAAATGCAAAAAGGGTGGGTAGTGACGCGTGACGGAACTGTCCAGTTTATCTTACCCTCGTTGCGTAATAACAATGTTGAAAATATTTCGGAAAAACTGGTTACACACATGTTATGTGTCCGCAATTATTGATTTTAATTTATATTTTAAATGTAAGCCGTCTCTTCGGTTCTAGTTTTTGGTCGCAACTGGCGGGAAACAAGTGTTCCGAAAAATATCAGTGACTAATCACTGACGAGTTGACAGGTTCGGGTCGCCTTGTATTACGTCTCTATAGGGTTAAGTGCTCGTAGACCTAATATCATACCGGAACACGACATGCGTCTTTTGGCAGTGACTGCCAGGCGGGTAGTAGCTAACCAGCGGTCGGGTCTCTCACTAATCTCTACTAGTAGGATGCCCGGCCGGGGGTTAGTTCCTATGACCAGCCTTCCACAAGAATGTGGTGCTGCTTATTTAGCACTATTTAAGGGAGTCAGAAAAAATTACTACGAACTCGAGCAGCTTTATTCCCCAATCCTATGAGATCTTGTCTATTCAGTTGCTGTACGGCTGTCAAATCTGTTGAAGACTGCAGTTTCATTTCGTGTCTAATAGTCCATAAGATTAATAGTGTGCTAGAAGAAATTTAGAAATTTTCTGCGACGGGTTTTGTAAAATTAATCTTCAATTGCATGCAAAAATCTCACGAGTATGAACTAAAACCACACAATATATACACTATTTGGTATAAAGAAAAGTCATAAAAGTAAACCACTTATTTATTTATTTTTGACTCAAAAAACACAAAAATTATTTAACAGAATCATAGAATACAGTAAGATTATACATTATTACAAAACAAAAATCTCAATACTATTTTTTTTTAATTACAAAAAAGATAAATGAATAACACTTCTAAATTTAAAATATTTCAGAAAAGTCATATTCAGTGTACTAAATAATTAATTATAATTATTGATCTTTCTAAGTAAAATTAAATAAATATCTCTATTTGTATTGCAACCTTTGTGGGGGACTGAAGGGTGATATCGTACATCAATTTTTAATTTGAATTTGGCCTCCGCTTAACTGACTCGGGTGGGGAAATTCAGTGCGCAGGTAGAGATCAAAGCCTTAATATTTAAAAAAAATCCCTTCAGTTAGGTTGAGCGTACCTCCGTTCCGTTACGTTGCTGGTCACAGGCACGGTAATTTTATCTATACAGTATTCCAACTTTATACAAACGGACGAAGCGAGAACTATGCCTACGCACCTCGATCTCGGCATGCGCTCGGCATGCAGACAGTCGTGACTGTACCGCAGTGATGATTTTGTGGAATATATAAAAAATTAAGGAAATATTCCGAACATTATTTAAAACCAAACATATAAATTGTAAAGTAGCTGCAGATATCTATAACCAAGTAAAAGATATTCCTTTTCTCCACCTTGTCCATGTTTCCCAAAACAATTTTTAATTAAGCTTTATATTAGAATGCGGATTTTTCATACTTAAAAATTTAATAATAAAGCATTTCGTACGTCTCAGCGGAGGCGCAAATATTTTTCGGTCGAAAATTTATAAGACCGATTTGTTAATCAAACATAAAGATGGTTTTTTAATTAGATCTACCAATCAAAAAACGACAGCCATTTTTATTGAACACTTCCTATTCAATTCACAAAGTACCTGTTTTAATTGTTTATATAATAAAATTATATTTACAATCATAAAACTAAATAGAAACACAAAGTAGGCAAATGTAATTAAAATGCTGGAGGCAGGCAGCCCTATCGTATGTTTACGTACCGCGCGGCTGTAGGCATTTATTTCAAAGATACGGCCGAGTTACAATACTGTATAGATAAAATAACCGTGTCACAGGCCTGCATTCATTTCTGAGATGGATTTAGGTTTATTTCGCATAAAATTATAATAATGTACTCGTAAATGACAGTACTTCGCAGAAATATTCATAACTTAAGACTATTTAAATTTTAAATCAATAAAAATTAAAGGTAGAATAATAAACACAAGTCGATAATGAAAGTAGGTAAAAACGTCTAATATTTTTACGTACTTAGAAACTGCCACATTATTAGTATTTTTTAAATGATAAGAAAATAGTTTTTTAATGTTAATTTTGAATGTATGTAGTTTTACGAGGAGAATACGTATAGTACATATTTTTTTAATAAATAGTTATTGATACAAGACACTAATATATTTCCTACATATTCATTTGTATAGCGTATATAACTCTTATCATAAATCACAATGACACATATATCACATTTTTCATAACTTAATTTTACCAATATGATAGATAATAGTTTGTTAACTACTTCTGATCATGGACCTAGAAAAAAGGGTGGACAGAGTCTCGCTAAAAAACAATTGACACACCGCAATGGCGGCCGCGTAACTATGTGTGAGTAACTACGCGAGCGCGGTTTGGAGCGTAATTTCGCGGTTTGGACTTACTATGGTGTGCATGTGTGCGTGCCGGCTTGTTTGTATTAACGAACCGACTTACTATGGGTGCGTCAGTAAGTAAGTTTTAAGAGACGGCGTCCGCCCTTTTTTTGTTAGGTCCATGCTTCTGATCTTGTTATTACCGTTTTGTTACTCATCATTTCGCTTTTTTATATAAAATTTATAATTGAGAGCACCATTGTTTTCAAAGGTTGTAATGTATGCTAGAGGAATAACAGCACATTTATTCGTCCCAAATATCTCGTCAATTGAAGTACCATTTGATAGGCACACGTCTAAATACTCATATTTTCTTCTTGGTTGTTTTTTGTTGTAAATGTGGATTTCGTAGTTCCACTTGGCAGCACTAGACTCGGTACCCAAAAGTTGAGTAGACATGTATAACATTTGTGTGGAAGTATCTATTTTTATATGAAATAAGAAGTAAAATGTTCCAATCAGAACTAAATGAACAATTCTGTTATCATTTTTCGTATTCTGGACGATCATTTCTTTGTCTACACCTGCTTGTTGATGTTCAGGATGGAAGTCGGCAAAGTGACTGCCCAATTGATTTATTTTTCCTGCGGAAATTAATTTTTATTAAATGACACAATTTTATTAAACAGTAATTTGTAAAAGAAACATTAAAATAATATTTTAAAACAGTCTTAGTTATATATATATATATATATATATATATATATATATATATATATATATATATATACTAAGACTGTTTTAAAATATTACAATTAAATGAATTCAATCATTTGTAATTTCATATCTACTGCAAATTACCATGTCCTCCTGGTCTTTTTCTAATAGAGACAACTTGCAAATATTTCTATTGCGTAGAAGTTATTAAAGATCTATTATATGTACTAGGCATATCATCCATGTTTCTACGCACAACAATGGATACTCTCACCAGTTTTTACCTACACCATACGTTACTTCTGTGATGAGGTTGTAGTTAAGCCAAAGAGGGCCGGCCCAATAACCAATAATTCAAGTTTTAGCAAGGACAACGGCGAACCACCATACAAATTGTTTTTTTGGTTGACTTTTTTGCGTCTGCAGATAAAATATACTTATGTAAACTTATAGTTTAAATTTTTGAACAATTTCACCTTGATGTTAGAGTTCTGTCTCGAGTTATTGAGTAGGTAATTAATGTATAGAGTTCCGTTTGTGATTCTATAACGTAGCAAAGGCAATACAGATGATCGTCGCCCAAACCGTCGCAACGACGGTCTGATTAGCACACATGCGATACGACTTATGGTCGGTTATTTAAAATATTATAATAAAAGATTATTTAAGAAATGTTACGTTTTTCGTATGGCCCATAGAAATAGACACTATAACAATCTACACGGCCAAAACGAAACTGTTGTGTCGCTCTGTGACAAATCAATTCAAGATCGAACCCTTGGATCGAACCTGTCGCATCCACTGAAGTTCATGAGGTGGTCAGTATGACCGTCGCACGTAAATGGCCTCCTGTAGGCGTTATACTAGTTATCAGGGGGACTGACAGCGGCGTTGTTTGACATTGGTAGTAACTCAATATTTTTGTTAGGTACGGGTTGGTAAGTTTGACACGAAATACTTTTAACCGAGTTGTTGAAATAAACTTTACTCTATAAATTGTATGAGGCAACGTAAGAAATTGTTAGTCAAATGTGTCTTAATAAAATAGTTTTATTTCCAGATTAAAAGACGCGTTTCTATGTGTGCGATACAATCCACAACGTTTAATTGCCCACCCAGCGACCCTTACGAATGTGTGCGTGCGTAGTAAAAGAGTAGTCGATAGATATTTATGAATTGCACAATTAGTTAAAATAATGTATTACCACGCATTTGAATTTAAAAGATAAAAAGGACAGAATCTTTGAGGTTTTTTTAAATGAATTTTTCATCAACATTCGCCTATCGACCCTCGGGGTGAATGTGGCAGCATCGTTTCAGGGCTGTAATGATGATAATGATTCACCTATATTACTTATTCTGAATCTCCGCAAATTTGGGCGTATATTGCAAAATAACACTGTAATAAATATTATTTTGCCATTGTACTTAGACTTCAGGTGAGATTCGAACAAAGCCCCTGCAGTATACCTAATCATTAGTTACTTTAAGCACGGCAATGCAACATGGTATTCAAAAGCAACATAATATAATACATTTTAAAGTGTTAAAAGTTATATTCATATTTGAACATAATTTATATTGTCTCTATTTGCAATATAGGGTCACTGTCAATACCACATACATTTTAGCATTTTATTAATTAGATCTCCTGGTGCAATAAATAAAAATGCTACAAGATTACCACAAAACTTACCTCTCCAGAAGCATCGTCCAAAAAGCGCGGTTAATGGACAAGCCATCTCATTAAAAGGGCATTCTTTTAAATGATTTTCCAACTCGGTCGAACGAATTCGTAATCTGCATCCGTCTTGTTGGTTTGGGCAATTAATTTTACACTGGCGGTCAGGTTTGGTTTTCTAAAAAATATTTTTGAGATAAAAGTACTTTAATGTAATGTAAACGTAATACGTAATAAACCTATTATAAAAATATCGTAGTTTATGCAATTTTATCTAGATCTGTTATGTGAAATATCTCCGGATTGAGTACACGCATATTTAAAAAATGTTTATCACCTCTGAGGACTAAGGTGGAGTGGCTCACAGATTGTTATAATTATACTGGCTGTCTATACTCTTCAAATGTTTATCACCCCTGAGAACTAAGGTGGATTGGCTCACAGAACGACAGTCTACATCCTTCAGGCCCGAAAACAGTATTGCCAGCACAGATATTAGGCGACAAAAATAAATAGCGTATGTAATACCCACCCAGACGGACTTCAATACAGAAATTAATTAAAAAAACATTTACAAATCTGCCTACTCCTTTTTAAAAGGCCGGCAGCGCATCTGCAATTCCCCTGGTGTTGCAGTTGTTCATGGGCGGCGGTAATCGCTTATCATCAGGTGAGCCGTATGCTCGTTTGCCCCCTTCTATAAAATAAAATAAAAACCCTGCTGGGTCGGATTTCGCATTTGTAATCATAATTGGCCACTCAGAAGGCGGCCCATACTGTATTAATCTAATAAAAATTTCCTGCATCATATTGTGTCTATTAAGAGACAGTTATTATTTATTAATCTAATAAAAATTTCCTGCATCATATTGTGTCTATGTAAGAGACAGTTATTATTACTGCAGTCCTTGATGTGGTTTTTGAAAAAGTTTGACTTTTAATAAAGAATAAAAGCCGGCTTCAAAAAACTAGAAAGAATAGAAGCCCTTTTCACTGAAAACGAGGCATTCTATCTTAGTACTCAGAGGGGTGACAACGCGTCTGCATTTTGATTCTTTATTGAGGATAAATGTATATGTATATGGGCTACAGCATCCACTTACCATCAGGTAAGCTGTGTGCTCGTTTGTTGCCGTTTTTCCAATAAAAAAAAAACTTTAAAAAAAGGAAGGAATCATTAGAATATATATATATATATATATATATATATATATATATATATATATATATATATATATATATATATATATATATATATATATATATATATATATATATATATATATATATATATATATATTTTAAACTTTATTGCGTCCCCTTAGAAAAAAATAGGATATAAAGGGCGGACTTAATGACTAAAGTCATTCTCTACCAGTCAACCCATGGAGTGAAAGAAAAAAAATATAAACTAAAATATACAAATATATAAAGATAAACTAAACGAAAGATAAGAAAGATCTGATAAGACCCCATATCAGATCTTAATCGTAGTCCCTTTCCGTTTGTATAAGGGCAACAAGTATAAAATTGTCTATGTTAATATTATGTTGTCTATCCTCAAAAGCTATTTGGATTTGATTGAAGCTATCTAGTATTGCTCTGTTCAGGTAGAGAAGGTAGTGTCATTGTATACTGGGTGGTTTTATATCGCTTGGAAAAAAAAAACATGGCACAGATATTTTACAATTTGTTTTTACATTAACATATTATGAAATTGATCTATCAATAAATACTACTCATTGGGCGCGCATATTATTTGGACTGCCTCGTTGGTCTGGTGGTCGTATTAGTGCGACTGCTGATCATGAGGTCCTGAGTTCGAATCCCGGGTCAGACCAAAAAATCAATTTATTGAGTTTTTCCAGTCAAGAAACTCTCAGTAGCTGCCCGGAGCAGCACGAACGAGGTCCATGTCAATATCGGAGGCTGCCTTAATCAAGGATGTCTTGAGAGACTCCAAATTGGGATGTGAGGCTTTGAGCACGTCTTTTCCTCCAAGTGTTGCCATATCTTGTAATCTAACGGATTCAAATCTGGACTGGAGGAGGGCCAGTCTTCGTGCCGGATGAAGTCGATTTCACGCGCCGCCAACCAGTCTTGTGTGCTCTTCGCTCTATGAGCTGACGCCGAATCTTGTTGGAATACCCAGTGCCTGTTATTGAACATGGTATGAGAAACAGCTTACACAAGGTTCGTCAGGACTGTATTTTGATACACAACTGCATTCGTTTTTACATCTTTCTCACAAAACTGTACCTCTGTTAAGCCCCAATAAGAAACTCCCAACCATACCATGAGCGAGGATGGAAAATGACCTCGTTGGACACGCGAAATACGGTTGCTCGCTTCTTCACTACTGTGTGCGTACACCTTATCATTTTGTTTGTTGTAGCTCTCTTCTACGGTAAAAATTTTTTCATCCGAAAAAAGAATATCCCAATATTTTTTCCCGCGTACCGCTTCAACAAAGCGCGGCATCTCTTCAGTGTCAGGTCCATTAGACGAGCATTCAAACGATGTCCTGTTTTTCTTCGATATGACCGAAGCCCTAAGTCTTCATTTAACACCCTTTTCACCGTGGTTCTGCTTAACGCCATCTGAAGGGCCAACAGTTTCTGCTTATGTTTGGGATTTCTTTGAATTCGTGCCTTCACAGCTTTTATCACTACTGGAGTCCTAACAGACCGAGGGCGACCACTTCTTGACCTGTCATCTACACTAGAGTCTTCATTGTATCGTTTGATGGTACGATAAACGAATCTTTTGGTTATATTCAAATTTTTCAGTATGTCAAAAAATTTGAATTGGCGCGTAACCGCAACGACGCAATAACTGCAACACGGTCTTCTTTAAGCGTCCACTCCATATTTAAAAATGAGTAAAATTCTAAAAGTATACAGTTTTATTTTCATGAACAATTCGAAATTCGAATTCAATAAACTTTTTTGTGACCAGCATTCTAAAAGAAAAGTTTTTACTGTGTGACAATACTTATGACCTGACTAGGTATATACATGGGCAGTCTATTAGCAGCATAAACATTATTTTCTAGACTGGGGTGAATCTTTTTCAGATGTTGTTGTACATCTAGTGTATCCATGATATTACTGCTATTAGTAGATTATTACAGTACAATCTACTCAATGACTAACATAGGAATTATCAATTATAGTGATTTCTAAATATTAAATTGCATTATTTTGTGTTATACAAAACGTATTTGAGTCATCAATACACTGAACAAGACGCAACACGAAGTAATGCTGAGATAAGCAACAGAATGTGAGATAAGCTTGTTGACGCATAATGTTACTATCAATTCCACTGTAGAAATTCTTTAGATTAGAATTATTACTTACTGATACTATATAAGACCAAGCAACTGCAGTCATGGAGTTAGTGTATGGTCGTTTGACCAAAGTGGATCTATCAATACTACATTTGTGTTACTTCAACACATCAAACGCCATGGATAAGTGTTTAATCTATTGACAAACTTACTTTTCTTTCTGTTATTTTCTTACGTATGTATGATTTAGTGTTAACAAATTATATTTAAATATTGTGTGTGTATACGATTAAGCCGTGGTAGCTCAGATGGTTAGCTCAAGCTGTAAATTTCACAGTACGCGACCCGGGTTCGATCCTCGCCGGCACCAATTAAATTGTTAATTGCAATTTTAAGTGCTGATTTACCACGTGCTCAGCGGTGAATGAAAACATCCTGAGGGAACCTGCATGTCTGAGAAAATTTCGAAGGCATGTGAAGTTCGCCAACACGCATTGAGGCTGCGCCGCGGACATTTCCTAGCCATAAATACAAAGACAATAGCAGAAAGTAAAAAGGTTAAAAAATACTTTTTTAACAATGACAGTCATTAATTGATCACTAGTGAATGTGATTTCTGTTTACTTAAATTACAGGAAGAGAAGAGCAGAAGGAAGAAATGGGATGATGGGAAGTAATGAAGCATTGTTACGTGAAGTTTATTGGAACAAACATATTTTTAGTCACGTGTAAATACTTTTAACATTTTGGTTCAAAATGACACAAAATCTAAAAAATATTAGATACATCATCGACATGGACGGATTTTACATTACATATCCTCATAAACATTTTCAATGTAGAGAAATGGCTATTCTAGACGTAAAACTATCTAATAAAAATGATGCGTTTATCGATCATTATTTGTTTCGGCCAAGTTATCCTTTCAATTATTTGTCGCCAAAAGACAAAAAAACTGTTCGTTATTGTGAAACACACGTGCACGGCATTCCATATTTTGATGTGACCGAAGAATTAAAATGTGCCTACAAACAAGAGAACATCATTCCCATATTAAATTGGTATATTAGAAATTTGTGCAAAGACGAAGTGATCGCATATAAAGGTGGTTCAACAGACACAATTTTTTCAGAACAAAATTTATGATTAATTTAAAATTTTATTTTCAAGCAATAACCACTACACACAAAAAACCCACATTTCGTCAATGTAAAATTTTGTGATTATTTTTTGCAAATATATGATTATTACACACATAACGTTTATTTAAATTTATGACATTTACAAAATCATTGTATTTTGGACATTTGTATTCTTCAATATTAAAAATTCTATCATTCGTCGTCAACATTTTTAAAAATTGTTTTTCTGTTGAACCACTTTTGTATGCGATCACTTCGTCTTTGCACAAATTTCTAATATACCAATTTAATATGGGAATGATGTTCTCTCGTTTGTAGGCACATTTTAATTCTTCGATCACATCAAAATATGGAATGCCGTGCACATGTGTTTCACAATAACGAACAGTTTTTTTGTCTTTTGGCGACAAATAATAAAAAAAAAAAAATGAAAGGATAACTTGGCCGAAACAAATAATGATCGATAAACGCATCATTTTTATTAGATAGTTTTACATCTAGAATAGCCATTTCTCTACATTGAAAATGTTTATGTTTATGTCGATGATGTATCTAATATTTTTTAGATTTTGTGTCATTTTGAACCAAAATGTTAAAAGTATTTCCACGTGAATAAAAATATGTTTGTTCCAACAAACTTCACATAGCAATGCTTCATTACTTCCCATCATCCCATTTCTTCCTTCTGCTCTTGTCTTCCTGTAATTTAAGTAAACAGAATTACATTCACTAATGATCAACTTATGACTGTCATTGTTAAAAAAGTATTTTTTAACTTTTTCATTTTCTGGTATTGTCTTGTATTTATGGCTAGGAAATGTCCGCGGCGCGGCCTCAATGCGTGTTGGCGAACTTCACATGCCTTCGAAATTTTCTCAGACATGCAGGTTTCCTCACGATGTTTCTTTCATTCTGTTGCTTATCTCAGCATTACTTCGTGTTGCGTCTTGTTCAGTGTATTGATGACTCAAATACGTTGTGTATAACACAAAATAATGCAATTTAATATTTAGAAATCACTATAATTGATCATTCCTATGTTAGTCATTGAGTAGATTGTACTGTAATAATCTACTAATAGCAGTAATATCATGGATACACTAGATGTACAACAACATCTGAAAAAGATTCACCCCAGTCTAGAAAATAATGTTTATGCTGCTAATAGACTGCCCATGTACACCCACGTACCAACGTATATATCTAGTCAGGTCATAAGTATTGTCACACAGTAAAAACTTTTCTTTTAGAATGCTGGCCACAAAAAAGTTTATTGAATTCGAATTTCGAATTGTTCATGAAAATAAAACTGTATACTTTTTAGAATTTTACTCGATTTTAAATATGGAGTGGATGCTTAAATAAGACCGTGTTGCAGTTATTGCGTGCATCGTTGCGGTACAATCAAATTTTTGACATACTAAAATACCTCCAACAATCCCAACAGAAACGTTGGCCCTTCAAGGGAAGCAGAACCAAAAAAAACAGCTTCGCTTCGAAAAACAGGACATCGTTTAATGCTCGTCTAATGGACCTGAGACTGAAGAGATACCGCGCTTTGTTGATGCGGTACGCGGGAAAAAATATCGGGAAATTCTTTTTTCGGGTGAAAAAATTTTTTACCGTAGAAGAGAGCTACAACAAACAAAATGATAAGGTGTACGCACACCACAGTAGTGAAGAAGCGAGCAACCGTATTCCGCGTGTCCAACGAGGTCATTTTCCATCCTCGCTCATGGTATGGTTGGGAGTTTCTTATTGGGGCTTAACAGAGGTACATTGTGAAAAGATGTAAAAAAGTTAAAATACAGTACTGACGAACCTTGTATAATCTGTTTCTCATACCATGTTCAATAACAGGCACTGGGTATTCCAACAAGATTCGGCGTCAGCTCATAGAGCGAAGAGCACACAAGACTGGCTGGCGACGCGTGAAATCGACTTCATCCGGCACGAAGACTGGCCCTCCTCCATTCCAGATTTGAATCCGTTAGATTACAAGATATGGCAACACTTGGAGGAAAAGACGTGCTCAAAGCCTCATCCCAATTTGGAGTCACTCAAGACATCCTTGATTAAAGCAACCGCCGATATTGACATGGACCTCGTTCGTGCTGCGATATACGAATGGCCGCGCAGATTGAAGGCCTGTATTCAAAATCACGGAGGTCGTTTTGAATAAACTATAGTGTCATAAGAATCTATGTTTTGTTAAGTTCATTTTGGTATATAAATGGTTACATAATGAATAAACTTGTTTCAATTATTTTATATTAAACATGCAATAGAATTAACCTGACTAGGTAATATGCAATTTGGGTACAGATGATAAACCAGGGTCACATTGGGTAGCTTTATATATCGATACGAATGACGTCGGTCAACATTTTGATTCATACGACGGACGAGCGCCTGTACGATATCATCTAGAGTTTTTAAAAAGGAATTGTAAAAGATGGAACTGGAATGTTGATAGGATTCAGAATGAGTGGACTTCAGTTTGTGGCGAATATTGCTTAATGTATTTGCTATATAAGTTTCAGGGATGTTCAATGCATAGTTTTACGAGTATATTTACAGGGAACACATTGTACAACGATATTTTAGTGGATGAGATGTTTCGCTCCTATTTTATAGATAATAAGTAATAAGATTTTGTATTTCGTAAATAAAAATTGTAACAAAATTAGGTAATATATTTTATTGATGATTCAGATTAGCGTTGCAGCTAGGAACAAAGGGGTATAATACAATAGCACTGATAACGCTGAGGAAGAATAGATAATGACGGTATTCAATGAACAATAGATAAATAGATAAGAACAATGGTGTGCTAATGACGGTGGAGGCCCTCACCGGATATCAATTAGATAGGAGTTAATTGATCTGCACATCTCCGGAACCGTGCATCCTACGCAAAAATGGACCGCAGATTCGTGATCAGAGCATGGCAAAACTTATTTTTTTTTTAGGATTCGTGTGTCGACGAAGGTTGTACTTGTACCACTTCTGATTCAGTGAGCCAGAACTGGTACTAACTAACTACTGATATTTATTACGTACATTTTCTTACCTCTGATTTGTTAGCTCCCGTTGACGGAGATGTCACAGCCGCTAAATTGATATCAGCAATTAAAGCTTCAAGTGTTCTATTTCTCATGTCGGTTATTGTTTTACCGCAGTTTAATGTACCGCACATGCTACCATTTATTTTACAATCTCTACACGAACTATGTCCACTACCGCATTGGAATATAGTTAATCCAAATCTGTTGCCGCATGTCGGGCAGCTAAATTCATTTCTTTCACTGTTTCTCTTAGATTGTTGTCTAAAAATGAAATAACATACTATATGAAGGCTACAAAATGGCAAAAGTAAGGGATTTCATATAAGAAGACATTGATCAATTTTGTTAAAAGTTTAAAAATACGAAAATATAATAATATTTTCCGTTATGATCACATGCAAAGGTTAACAAAAATCGTTCTCTCAATTTGGAATAAATTAGTAGCGAATTCTACCTGTTTGTATTTGTTGGTTCATTTAATGGTGCTGGAGGCGCTGAAGGAATAACCCTAACAAAGAAGATCATTTTATATTAAAAGTAAATTTTAAGTGCTAATAAAAATAAAATCTTTACCAAAGCGACCAACTTACCTCGTCGTATGATTGTTAACAAAACTTGAATTACCAGTTGAAGTAGATGTGATTGGTATATTTCTTGGTCCTTTGGCTAAGGTAAGTTTATTATTTATAGGGGCAGACGTTGAAGCCACACCAACCCTGTCTGTTCTCGTACTTAAACGTAAAAAAATCAAGTTAATTATAAGATTAATTTGTAAAAATACTTTTACTATTGTAATATTAATTTGTAAAAATACTTACCTCGTCGTATGATTGTTAACAAATTCAAAACTTGAATTACAAGTTGAAGTAGATGCAATTGGTGTATATCTTGGTCTTTCGACTACATCAGGTGAAGTATTATTATTTATATTGGCAGACGTTGAAGCCACACCAACCCTGTCTGTTCTCGTGCTTAAATGTAAAAAATCAAGTTAATTATAGGATTAATTTGTAAAAATACTTTTACTATTGTAATAGAAAGGGAACATACTATTAGTATATAGTATATAGTTTATGTGTATTACAGCATTTAGTAATATTTAATAGTTTTAATATATTTGTCTTGTCATATTTTGTAAGATTATGTGATTTTAATTTTTTTTAATAATTATAATTTGAAAAAAAAAAATGTAATGTAAATAAAAATGAGTCTTGGATACTTGAAATTAAATAAATAATAATAATAATATTAATTTGTAAAAATATTTACCTCGTTGTATTATTGTCAACAAATTCAAAACTTGAATTACCAGTTGAAGTAGATGCAATTGGTGTATATCTTGGTCTTTCGACTATGTCAGGTGAAGTATTATTATTTATAGGGGCAGACGTTGAAGGCACACCAACCCTTCCATCACTTAAGTTAGGGTATAGCATATTGGAATTGTATTGAATTGGATTGCCTTCTCTGGTGTTTACATTGTCTGTTCTCGTACTTAAATTTAAAAAAATCAAGTTAATTGTAATATTAATTTGAAAAAATACTTTAAATGCAAATTAATGTTATAAAATGTAACAGTTGTATGTTCGGAGTTTGTCAAACGCCATGTATAAGGCTAAATACGTGGGCTACTTAGAAAATTCTGCAAAACTAAAAAATGTTCTATGGTTAAAGTTTATATTATTTTTTATAAGAAATTTCCACCAGCATATTATGTATATAAAGTTTATTGCATCTGAACTAATTTTCGAAACAATTTTTCCAGTCCGCCTCAGATATATCTTCTATGGTCTTCTATTAGCAGATGGTTAACTCTTCCCACTGGGTTGATCGCTGGTCTGGATATTTTACGTCTGGCATAAGCGAATTGGTTATCCCGCATCTATCGGAAGCCATGTGATGATTTTGGGATTTGATGATGGTTTTGATGATTTTGCTCCTAATTATATTATTTTTTTATGTTTACAAATTAAGGTTAAATTATAACAAAGGCGTGAAAAGTGCATAAAAATTAAATATTTTGGATTTCACAAGGCTTACTTCCGTGGAATATTGCTTCCCTGTTGTGCAGATTGTACTTGCATCATACATTGCCATAATCTCTCCTTAAGTTTTCTTTGCTTTTCTAAAGCCCTTTCTAAGGTAGCTTGAGTTTGAGCCTCCCTGTAAAAGGTAAAAAAAACTACAAATAATTGAAAAAAAAGTACATTTACTTACATAACATAACACACAAGTACTATTTAGACAGTTCCTTCAAAAAGTTGTAATATAAACATAACATAACATAAACACTCACGCCTATCACCCAGAGAGGTAGGCAGAGACTACAGACTTCCATTTGGCACGCATACATGTTCTTTGGTTAAGGGTACTCCTAATTTGACCCATTTTTAATATATCGCCAATTTGATCGATAAACTTTCGCCTAGGACGTCCCTTTTTGACTCTGCCGTTCACTTCTGCAACATACATTTTCTTTGTCATGCTTTCCTCATTCATTCTTACCACATGACCAAACTACCGAAGAATTGCTTTCTTAATCTTGGTCACAACATAATCTTGCAAACCACACTCTTCTCTTATCATACAATTTCGCACCCTGTCACTCAGATTCAGCCGTAACATACTCCTTAACGACCATATTTCTATTGCATTTATTCTATTCTCATGCTTCTTCTGCCACACCCAACTTTCACTACCATACTAAAAAGTGTGGACCAACACAGCATTGTGAATTGCCATATGTGCCTTTTTTGACACATTCTGGCTTCTCACAACACAGTGTAGGGCCCCATTTACTCTATTTCCTGCGTTCACTAGTCGTTCTATATCCTTATCATACCTCCCATCCTTGCTATTACGCATCCCAAATATACAAACTCATCCACTTGCTCTATCAACTGCATTTCTATTCTTATTTCACATATCGTTTTACTTCCTTCTCTTTCAAAAACCATAACTTTCATCTTACTTGCGTTCACTTTCATACCCTTTTATTTTAATTATCTGTTCATTAATGTAACCATCATTTGCAATTCGGCCGGTTCGGACGGTTAACTCACCCATTCTTAATCCGCATTCTTCAACTTTAAAATTTTCCAAACAACTGTCCATATACAGGATGAACAGCCACGGGGAAGCCACACAGCCCTGTCTGACACCGTTATGGATGCCAAACCAGTCCGAGTAGACCCCGTTGATCCTAATACAAGCACTAGAGTCCCTATATAGAGACCGTATCAACCCTGTGCTCAACCCAAATAAGTTCAGTGTTTGCCATAACACATTCCTGTCCACTCTGTCATAAGCCTTTTCCAGGTCCATGAACACATAAAAAACTCCGCGATCATGCGCACGGAAAAGACTTGGTCCGTACTTGGTCTCCATTGCCTTTCTAAATCGGCTTGCACATCCCAAATTTTTCCATCAGTTTCTTTCATGACCTTTTCAATTTGTACCTTAGCATACAGTTTTCCCACAATGCTAAGAAGGCTGATACCACGGTAGTTTTTACAGTCATGCTGCAACCCTTTTCTTTTATATATTGGGACTATCACGGCTTTGCACCAGTCTACCGGTACCCGTTTCAGTTCCCAGCATAAGTTAAAAAAAGTGTACAGCGAGCCTGCCACCACTTTCTCTCCAGCCCTTAGCATTTCGAGTGAAACTCTATCATATCTGGCTGCCTTACCTGCTTTCATGCTTTTCATTACTTTCATTATTTCATCTATACTTATCTCCCTTTCTCTTTCCTCTTCTTTCGGAACTTCTACTTTATTTAGTTCTTACGTCGTCTCCTCACTCATAAACGCTCTTTCAAAATACTCCTTCCATCTCTTAAAACTCAAAACTTCTCTTATAGAAGAGAGCTACAACAAACAAAATGATAAGGTGTACGCACACCACAGTAGTGAAGAAGCGAGCAACCGTATTCCGCGTGTCCAACGAGGTCATTTTCCATCCTCGCTCATGGTATGGTTGGGAGTTTCTTATAGGGGCTTAACAGAGGTACAGTCCTGACGAACCTTGTGTAATCTGTTTCTCATACCATGTTCAATAACAGGCACTGGGTATTCCAACAAGATTCGGCGTCAGCTCATAGAGAAGAGCACACAAGACTGGCTGGCGACGCGTGAAATCGACTTCATCCGGCACGAAGACTGGCCCTCCTCCATTCCAGATTTGAATCCGTTAGATTACAAGATATGGCAACACTTGGAGGAAAAGACGTGCTCAAAGCCTCATCCCAATTTGGAGTCACTTAAGACATCCTTGATTAAAGCAGCCGCCGATATTGACATGGACCTCGTTCGTGCTGCGATATACGAATGGCCGCGCAGATTGAAGGCCTGTATTCAAAATCACGGAGGTCGTTTTGAATAAACTATAGTGTCATAAGAATCTATGTTTTGTTAAGTTCATTTTGGTATATAAATGGTTACATAATGAATAAACTTGTTTCAATTATTTTATATCAAACATGCAATAGAATTTATGACCTGACTAGGTAGTATGCAATTTGGGTACAGATGATAAACCAGGGTCACATTGGTAGCTTATATAGGGTAGCTTTATATATCGATACGAATGACGTCGGTCAACATTTTGATTCATACGGACGGACGAGCACTTGTACGATATCATCTAGAGTTTTTAAAAAGGAATTGTAAAAGATGGAACTGGAATGTTGATAGGATTCAGAATGAGTGGACTTCAGTTTGTGGCGAATATTGCTTAATGTATTTGCTATATAAGTTTCAGGAATGTTCAATGCATAGTTTTACGAGTATATTTACAGGGAACACATTGTACAACGATATTTTAGTGGATGAGATGTTTCGCTCCTATTTTATAGATAATAAGTAATAAGATTTTGTATTTCGTAAATAAAAATTGTAACAAAATTAGGTAATATATTTTATTGATGATTCAGATTAGCGTTGCAGCTAGGAACAAAGGGGTATAATACAATAGCACTGATAACGCTGAGGAAGAATAGATAATGACGGTATTCAATGAACAAAAATTATAACAAAGGCGGTGAAAAGTGCATAAAAATTAAATATTTTGGATTTCACAAGGCTTACTTCCGTGGAATATTGCTTCCCTCTTGTGCAGATTGTAATTGCATCGTATATTGCCTTAATCTCTCCTCATAAAGTTTTCTTTGCTTTTCTAAAGCCCTTTCGTAGGCAGCTTGAGTTTGAGCCTCCCTGTAAAAGGTAAAAAAAAACTACAAATATAATTGAAAAAAAGTACATTTACTTACATAACATAACACATAAGTACTATTTAGACAGTTCCTTCAAAAAGTTGTAATATAAACATAACATAACATAAACACTCACGCCTATCACCCAGAGAGGTAGGCAGAGACTACAGACTTCCATTTGGCACGCATACATGTTCTTTGGTTAAGGGTACTCCTAATTTGACCCATTTTTAATATATCGCCAATTTGATCGATAAACTTTCGCCTAGGACGTCCCTTTTTGACTCTGCCATTCACTTCTGCAACATAAATTTTCTTTGTCACGCTTTCCTCATTCATTCTTACCACATGACCAAACTACCGAAGAATTGCTTTCTTAATCTTGGTCACAACATAATCTTGCAAACCACACTCTTCTCTTATCATACAATTTCGCACCCTGTCACTCAGATTCAGCCCTAACATACTCCTTAACGACCGTATTTCTATTGCATTTATTCTATTCTCATGCTTCTTCTGCCACACCTAACTTTCACTACCATACTAAAAAGTGTCAGCATTGTGAATTGCCATATGTGCCTTTTTTGACACCTTCTGGCTTCTCACAACACAGTGTAGGGCCCCATTTACTCTATTTCCTGCGTTCACTAGTCGTTCTATATCCTTATCATACCTCCCATCCTTGCTATTACGCATCCCAAATATACAAACTCATCCACTTGCTCTATCAACTGCATTTCTATTCTTATTTCACATATCGTTTTACTTCCTTCTCTTTCAAAAACCATAACTTTCATCTTACTTGCGTTCACTTTCATACTCTTTTATTTTAATTATCTGTTCATTAATGTAACCATCATTTGCAATTCGGCCGGGCGCTCAATATCGGACCGGGTTAACTCACCCATTCTTAATCCGCATTCTTCAACTTTAAAATTTTCCAAACAACTGTCCATATAAAGGATGAACAGCCACGGGGGAAGCCACACAGCCCTGTCTGACACCGTTATGGATGCCAAACCAGTCCGAGTAGACCCCGTTGATCCTAATACAAGCACTAGAGTCCCTATATAGAGACCGTATCAACCCTGCGCTCAACCCAAATAAGTTCAGTGTTTGCCATAACACATTCCTGTCCACTCTGTCATAAGCCTTTTCCAGGTCCATGAACGCACAAAAAACTTTTCGGCCAAAAACCAAAACTCCGCGATCATGCGCACGGAAAAGAGTACTTGGTCTCCATTGCCTTTCTAAATCGGCTTGCACATCCCAAATTTTTCCATCAGTTTCTTTCATGACCTTTTCAATTAGTACCTTCGCATACAGTTTTCCCACAATGCTAAGAAGGCTGATACCACGGTAGTTTTTACAGTCATGCTGCGACCCTTTTCCTTTATATATTGGGACTATCACGGCTTTGTACCAGTCTACCGGTACCCGTTTCAGTTCCTAGCATAAGTTAAAAAAGTGTACAGCGAGCCTGCCACCACTTTCTCTCTAGCCCTTAGCACTTCGAGTGAAACTCTATCATATCCGACTGCCTTACCTGCTTTCATGCTTTTCATTACTTTCATTATTTCATCTATACTTATCTCTCTTTCTCTTTCCTCTTCTTTCGGAACTTCTACTTTATTTAGTTCTTACGTCGTCTCCTCACTCATAAACACTCTTTCAAAATATTCCTTACATCTCTTAAAACTCAAAACTTCTCTTATAGCATTCATTATAGGCTATTTGGAATATCCCCTGGCAGTTCTTACGAGTTTACAGAACATTTTAATATTTTCCTGGAAGTTATCCGATATTCTTCTATTATTCTTATCCATTCTTTCTTGCTTTTTTCTTTGAACTACTTCTTTTACTCTCTTATTTAAATGTCTAAAGCATTTTTTCTTTCAATATCATCTTCGTACCACCAGAAATACCAGCCTTTGTTGCTATTAAATCTAGCCATGCTCTTTTCTTTACTTCCACTTCCATACATCATCCTACCACAACCATTTTATTTTTCCTTTCATTCGTTCTCTTACTAACACCACATACTTCGGTAGCCGCATCCACTAAACCCTTCTTAAAATTTTGCCATACATTCTCCAAGTCTAACTCATTCATACATAATTCATCCAAACCACTTATATTTTCTTTCAGTCTATGTTTGTACTTGTTTTTCTTGCCTTCATCTTGTAGCCTTTCTGTTCTAATACGCTGTAACGCAGTGTAGACACAGATGCTCGATGGTGCAAATGTCTGAATAGGCCATTAATTCAGTATAAAACCAAATAATGATCCGTTCCTACGTTGGACCCCCGGTAAACATTTGTATCTACCACTGCGCTCCTCATTATTTCATCCACAATTATGAAATCTATCATGCTTCTATCATCACCTCTTTCCCAAGTATACATGTAAATCCTTTTGTGGCGAAAGAAAATGTTTGTTACAAAAATACTCTTTTCCTCACATACGGTGAGGAGGCTTTCACCATTCTCATTTATACTTTCATCAACAAACGTTCCCAATATCCTTTCACAACCAAGCCTCTTCACCCCAACCCATCCATTAAAATCTTCTAATGTAAACATAGTGGAAAAATATTCTATGTATGTATATTTTCGTAATTTTCGCGATGCTGAAGACATGCAGGTTTTGGAAAATATTGATACGGGTGTATTTTTTGTCATTTTGCGAGGAGCTGATAAAGAAACTAATATCGATTTTAAAATCAAAGAAGGACATAGTTTTTCTCTTCACAGTTAAACAAAAATCAAAAGATAAGCATAGGCGTCATCATCTCCTCCCCTTGTAGTTTCCACGCTTGACAGCTGGGTCGACAAGCGCAATTTATTCTTTTGGTTTATATCAGAAATGCGCTGCTGCCCGTTTATCTTCTGTATCATTTTCGACTATCGTTCACTTACGCGGCCACTACACGGCTACGGTACGGCAGATATAAACTTTTCGGGAATTGTTAGATGCTTCAAATACGGATTTAAATAACTTGAAAGTACAAGTTTCGCTTGGTATGCGTTCCTTGGTATAGTTCTGTTTATAATAGTGGGTAAAGTATGAAGTTGCCATTTTAATGGAATGGCCATTCCATAGAGCAACACGGGCCATCAGCGGACCGGAGGGGAGTAGCCATACGCAGGCGTTCCCCTCTGTCAAAGTATAAGTCCACACAGTCCTATACGTACAATGAAACTGAGCAATGCCACACTGCTTATTAAACACGTTTTACGACAGCAACTGTTTTTAGAAAAATAAGAAATAAAGTTTTTTTTATAGAATAGGGTGACAGACAGTCAGTGAGCACACAGTCCACCTGATGGTATGTGGATGCTATGGCCTATTTATCATCGATTAAGATTCAAAATCTGAAATGTGTTGTCAACCAGGACGACTAAGATGAAATGGCTTGTTTCCAGTAAAAGAGTTTATGGTTCTTTACACTCACCATACGAAACACATCAGCATTGAGCTGCTATTTTACGTTGGTATTCTGTGAGAGCGTGGTTCTACTTCGGTCGAGCCGACCCATTCGTGCTAACTATATTGTAGTTGCAGCATGGCTCTACCAAATAAAACAACTTGTGGATTGTGTGCTAATTGTTGTGCTCACCCTAATTATATAAAAAAAAGAAGTCCACTTTCTGTGGGCCACCACAGAAAGTGGACCTGGTCGAGCCCCGACGACTCAATAAAAAATGAGATCGACTTCGTTATAGATGGCCACTATTCAGTGATGTCTCAATGATCGCAAGGGTGAAAACTGGCAGCTCAGGGAATGATTAGAGGCATACTGTATCTAAACGTAAAGTTGGAGAGATCTTGTGTAATGAAGTCAACTCTCCATCCTCCTCGTGCTCTAATCCAAAGTCCCGAAACCATGAAAAGACTGTAATGCAGTGGACGATACGAATGATAAGCTCGTGGAAACTGTCCATGCAGTGGGAGCTAAGTGCTGCAAGACCCGCCGCAGAAGTACACAAAAGTCTCTGATCACACTCTTAATTTCCTGGCTATTAGATGGGGGATGAGGCTGCAATCGTCAACAGATTTGACAGCATACAGGCAACTGAACAGACATCTCCAAATGCATGCGGCAAGACTTACGCAAATTTAATACTGCTCGTACTGACGAAGCAATTGAACGAAACCAAGGCTCCAAAGTCTTTGCCAGAGATCAGTCTGCCGTGCCAACTGTCAAAGCTGAAGCGTGGCAGCATTGTTTTCAGGAGAGCTGAGATTTTGAGTGAAATTGAGAGGTTCTATGGGCAGCTGTACACGTCATCGTTAGAGCCACACGCAAGTGTGAGTAACAATTCAAGAGCAAGTCTTATCCGACACTATTTCAATGATACCCTGGACGTCAGTCTAAGCAAGATTAGAATGGCTCTCCAGCACCTTAAAAACGGTAAGGCCCTGGGTGAGGATGGAATAACATTGTAGCTTCTGAGAGCGGGTGGAAAACCGATACTTAAAGTCCTTTAGAAGCTCTTCAACCGGCCTCCATGGTGGCACTACTCCGGAGGCGTGGAGCAGAAGTGCGGTGGTCTTGTTCTTCTAGAAAGGCAACAACGCTCTTTTGAAGAACCACAGACCGATTTCCCTTCTGAGCCGCGTCTAAATGCTGTTTTCGAGAGTCTTATGAATCGTCTCTCACACAGAATCGACGACTTACAGCCACCCAAACAAGCCAGTTTCCAAAAAGGCTTTAGCACCATAGACCACATACATGCCCTAGGCAAATTGTGCAGAAGTCCGAAGAATACAATCTGTCACTTTGCCTTGCGCATGTGGAGAAAGGCTTAGATTCCGTCGAAATTTGGAAAAAAAAAACTACAGTAGGTACGTTGCAGATGTACTTAGAAATATCCAGGTTTCTTCAGCTATTCAACAAGGAATTAGGGTATTTAATATATATTTAATATAGGGTATTTATCAGAATTCCTAGACAAAACTTAGATTGAACGCTCACAGGTAGTATTAAAAAATAACAATGCTCATGCGTCAAATTTATCAATTGGCTCTACCCATTGTATAACTCTTCTCCTGAAATGTGCATGGCAACCCTCATGCGGAAGTCACATTTCTCCAATCCGATTGAGTGTTAATCATCCATCAAGGCGCATAAACTTGTCTTAAACAGTCTTCATAATGTTCTCCATTTAAATCGTCAGGTAGAAAGTGAAGCTCAAACGGTTTGATATTATGCCTATCAATATATTCAAGCTGAATCGTCTTTGGGACCCCTTTATCCGCTTCTTATTGTGATTTCCCCGTTCTTTCGGGGTTTAATAATGAGCATTGTGGTAATTGGTCATACCATCTTTATTTATCTTGGACTCATCTGTCAATAAGATATTTCTCAGAAATGATGGGTCTTTTAAATCTGCATATGCAAATTCATCATGAATTTGCAGAAACCGAACCTCCTCAAAGGATCCTCCTTCCTTCTATAACTTGTAATGGCGTGTTGTGATAAACTTATAGGCCCACAGTATTGATAGTAAACCAAACTTTCCACTGCGAGAGTCCCAAATTCTCGGGCAACAATGCTAGTAGAAGTAGTTGGATCCAATCTTAAACGTCGAACTATCTCATTGTTCTGCTCTTCGTCATCATCAATGAGACATAATCTATGCAGGTTTGTTCATCGCCTTGAAACAGAGCCAGTCTCTCTAAGTCGTCGATAAATTCTGTCAAACACACTAACATCTGGCACTCGGCTGCCGGGATAACATGCTATGTATTCATCAAGTGCTTGTGTGGATACACAATTGCAGTATCCGTAACAAATCATAATATCAGCATATTCCCCGTTCGTAAAGGTCGTCATCTTCAACGGTTAAGTATTAAAAGCACAAATCAAAGAAAACAGCCCAGAAATACAAGCCAAGCCGAGTAGGAAACAGAAAGCACTGAATATCGCATTTACCGTACGAATTATGTAAGTAGACTAATAAACTAAACACAAAAGCAACACTACACATCAATCGCGTACAAATCTCCCCACCATTACTCACCTAAAGAACACCATTCCTAAAACAGGCTATTGAATAAAAACATCCAAATTTCAATAGAGAAGATGGATGGGTGCTCCACCTCTTATCCTATAATTAACAAATTAAACCCAACCTAAGCATACCACTGCAAGACTTCATGATACTATAAGCTTGTTTTGCGAATCGACAAAAATTAATATCAAACATTACCAAAACTCAAAAAAAAAAAAAAATGCATAAAATCCGTAAATTTAGTTTTATTCAATAAACACAAAAACACCGAAATGGCTTGTTGAACACCCAGCACTGTTATTTCTTACTACTACCTGTGAGCCTTTCATCCTAGGTTTTTTCTAAGAATTCTGATAAACCTTAGACTGTTATACCTTGTTGGATAGCTTAATATTTCTCAATGAAAAAATAAATTGTACAAATTTATTTCTTTTTCAAATATCAATCATCTACTACGACCCAGATTGTTTATTTACTCCTAAGATCTTGGTCTTTAAAATAATAAAGCAACTTACTATACAAAAATTATAAGAAAAATAAAACAAAATGCACAAATTCTAAAAGAATAAGTACAATAGATAAATAGACAAAAAATTTGAATTATAAAAAAAAACTTAAATATACAATATCTTGCAAATGGTTAAGTTTGGGGTATGGTGTTTCATAGTTGAATCAGTCGGTAATGAAGGAAACTATAACCCCTTAAAGGATCTAGGTTAACTTAACCTGTAACCCTATATATCAATATTTTAAAACAGGGTGATGATATTATACATGCACTATGCAACTATGTGATTAATATATGATTAATTTTATAGGTGTGTTTCGTATTTATTTTGTTTCATAGTGATTTTAAATTTAAACAGCTACATTTTTTGCTAGTATAACAAGTGCCTGCAGTTGAAAGAATGTTAAACAAAATAAGTTTTGGATAATTTTTTGCACCTAGTTTTTTTATAAATCTGAATTGCCAAATGTACTCCCAACCCACATATTGGGAAGTAGCTAATACAGCCCAGGGGCATCTGCAAACACTTTCAATCAAAAAAAGGCTACAGATGCATTGTCACCTCTGAAGGTTAAGATTAAATCAGATTATTAAGAATGCCATTCAGTCAATCAATAACACTTTCTATATACCCTTCAGACAGGATCACAGCAATGCAGACACAAAATACAAAGTATTGATTAAAACTACTTTTACGGCTTTTATCCGTTTAATTTTAATTATTTTTAATTCCTGACATTTCGGGTGCTTTCCACCACTTATCGGGTCACGGGGGACTGAGATGACTGACGTCCCAATGTTATTGTTAACCTGGAGTACCTTCAGCTTTTTAATTATTGTTTAGTTTTAATCAAGGTGTAGTGTTCGCTTAAATATAAGAAATCATTAAATACAAAGTACAAAAAATACTAAACATAATAACACATACACATAGCACCTATTATCTCCGAGGTGTTAGGCAAAGTTCAAGGTGCAGCAAGATACTAAGCTAGTGTATCCTCTCAAGTTACATGATGCTTTCTCTTTAATAATCTTAACACTAAAGGAGTCGCTAATGGGACAAATAGACCCAGTCCTCAGTATTTTGCTTAATAACTATTAAAATTCAATGTTTGTGATGTTGTTGTTCTTAGTACCTTTCAAAAACAGTGTAATACAGCAAATTACGAAGTTGGTAGTCAGTTGGCATGCTGTAAATGAGTGCTATTGGAGTAAAAGGTATGTATGAGTTCGCAGAAACCAATAGCAACTTAATACAAAGTAATTTTTGCATATTCTTAGTACTATTTACTTGTCAATTTTCTTTATTTTAATTTAAACAAAATAGCTACCACTAAGGTTTTGAGACCTGAAGTGATAGAATATCTAATTCTAAATGGAGAAATAGAAAACTAAGACCGCTCTGAAACTGAAAACTACATAGATATAACTGAACATAAATTGGATTCCAAACATGGAGGCGAAGTATTCAGTATCCCTAGCTTATCATGTGAATGTTGACTAGTGTGATTTTGCTCCAAAGAAGATATTATAAATTTGTTATTTAACAAAAAATCTATGATGATTGATCTCTCTTTGTATTCCTTATAAGTAATAACATTATAGATGTGTAAGAAAACACATATTTTGTTTTAATAAGTAATAATAGAAATTATAATGAATACCCAAAAACTTAGAGCCGTGGTAGCTCAGTGGTTAACGCTCGCTGTAAATATAACAGAACGCGAGTAACCCAGGTTCGATCCCTGCCGGCACCAATGAAATTGTCAATTGCAATTTTAAGTGCTGATTTACCACGTGCTCGGCGGTGAAGGAAAACATCGTGAGGAAACCTGCATGTCTGAGGAATAAGAAAAAAAAATATTTCTATGACATGTGAAGTTCGTCAACACGCATTTGGGCAGCGCGGCGGACACTTCCTTGCCCTAAACCCTCTCAGACTCCTCCTCTTACTTTACTTTACTTTACCCAAAAACTTGTCACTAAACTGCAGAAATTTAGTATATTTACGTAATAGCTTTTTTATAAGAAAACCAATCAATATTATAATAATATCCTCAAGACCGAATTTCGGTCACGGCGGCCCGCCTCAATGAAGACTAGCCATCAGCGCAGGACAGAAATATAGTGCCCAAGTGTATGTGAAAGCACAGGTACACTCTATTCCCTCACTCTCATAATCCGATGGGACGGTAAGCCGACATGAACGAAGAGAAATCAGGTGCAAGACCAACGGCTTTTACGTGCTTTCCAGGACACGGGGGTGAGACACCGTCAACTTCGTGACTCCGGACTGCTATTGAGAATTTCTTGATTGAAAAGCTCAATAATTAATTTTTTGGGCCGGCTCGGGATTCGAAACCCAGACCTAATGATCAGCAGTCGCACTATTAAAGCCACTAGACAAAAAGTACCATATTAGTATTTGATTATATAATGACTTTTTTTATCCAGCAGATCCCAGCAGACCCGGTAGCGAGTACTTGTGCCACAAATTAGGACGCGACTCCCTAATACTAATATTTTCACGACAATTCAGTAACTGACCTTATCTTTTTCTCGAATTCTGAAGAATGATCATTACCCATTGTATTAGGATTGCACACAAAATCTTTTTGAAATTACTGTTTATGTACTTATTTTTACTTTCCGATATTAATAGAACGTATTATTAAAACAAAAGGTAACTTTTAAACTGAAAAAGTAAACACGATGTAAAATCTGCACCAATCAACACTTCACAACATTACATTGTTCGTCCATAAATTTTTTAAAAAGTACTGTACTGTATACATTAAAATTCTTGGTGGAGATCTCTATCTCTCTCTCTCTGTAGTCTTAATATTAAGTATTCGGGTCCTGCTACAATTAATCTCTTTGTTTGGGATCCGTAATTAAAGTTTATTAGTTGTTAATTTCTTATCTCATCGATAGATTGTAATTACAAAATGAACTTATATTATCTAGAAATGCTCACGCCATAGATAAATAAATATGTTACAATACAATACACTTACACACTATACACAGTTGACATCTAATATATAACTACATTTCTCTATGCCTTTGTACTTCCCCTCAGAGTAATTACTAGCATAATATAGAGAGTTTAAAAACAGAACCATGGAGTGTAGAGGTAAGGAGTACAGACTGTAATGTGTATTAAAAGTGTCCGTAAAAACCGTTAAATAAGGATGGCACCACTAAAGCTACGGGGTAAATTTTAAAGAACGCGCCGAAAAATATTAGTGGGATAGTGGACTTTTCGGGGTTATATTTATTATAAATAAAATTATTTTAGTTTTTAGAGCTACTGAGCAGTTTAGCAGCCCATTTAACCCCGTCGACAACTGCCAAGTAGCTGTTTCCTGTAGCTTTAGCGTTGTTGTGGAGAGTTTTTGTTTTTTATTTATTGCTTACAGATGGACACATTTTCAAATATTCTCCTCCTCTACACTCCATAAACAGAACAGAACCTCATGTAACCAAGCTCTTTATGCATATGACATTTCCTATAGGATAAAAAAGATGGTTATATGAATGTCATCATCTCTCCTTTACAAGGTTGTAGACGTGGACTAAAGTTGTTCAAAACGACTATAAATCAATAGCACGTTACAGACTATAAACTAGATATTCTAGCGCGCTATTAAATACGCTATTTTATAGCGCGCTATTTATAAAAAAGTGTGTAGGAGGACGGCAAGTACGTTAAGTTTAGCAGCACGCTATATCTCGGAGCACGCTACATTACATGTTGTTCATAGATCGCGTGCTATATAAGAACATTGTTTCGTAATAAGTCACATTTTAGATTAAAATAAAATTAAGTAGTAAAGAAAAATTAAATAACGCTCTTTCATACTTTTCAGGCTTACGATTTTTTATAATCCTAAAAATATTTTTAAAGACTGTACTTTTTAAAACAAAATAAAATTAATCATTTTTTATTATAATTGATGTAAACGTTATTTTAACCTTAATATAAATTATAAATCAATTAAAGGTGTATTTAAAAGTTTATTGATTGTATATACAAAATCAACTATTTACAAATAAAATACATATACACTTTTGTATCTATATTTTATTTACATTTAAAAACATTAGTTAGGCTTCTTTTGTAGCAGACAACTGTGCCCTTCAATCACTTATAAATATACAGTACACACTAACTAAATAACGTCTAACACTGAATTAGTTCACGCGCGATGAATAGCGTGCTGCTAGATTAAATTTGCGTCACACGTCTACTCCCAACAGCGCTGCTGCTAGAACTAATTGCCGCTTGATATGAATAGCGCCAAAGCGTCATGGCGTCATAGCGCCATGGCGACTACTTACATAGCACGCGCTATACGTTATGAAGAGATAGCACGCTATAATATGGCGCTATGTGCTATATTAACCACCATGATAACGTAGACCTACGGTTGTAGACGTTTTTTTTAGCTTTTTATATACCATAGACAATTCTAGTGATGGTAACTATAGAAAACGTGGGCACACGAAAAAGATAGATTTATGCATACGTCTTGCATAGAAATGAGACAGAGCGATGTGATTGTTTGTCCCTTTCTCCGTGCCGGTTTCTTTGTTTAGCAAACTACACTTTGCGAAACAACTTTGACAGTTCGTAGCACTCTAAGGAGTTTACAAGTTGGTTTAAGTGAGAAAAAAGTGATTTGTGAGCTTTAGATTGGTGAATCTTGTTCAGTTCAGTTCTTAGAACAATTAAAATTTTTATCTAAATATGTTTAAAAGTCATAAAGATTATTGTATAACCTAAAACTACGTTATCGTCCTTTCTCACTGTAGGCCACGCTAATCATTAGTCTATAGGTTTCTCTGTCTACGATAGAAAAGAACAGCTTCATCGATATACTCGTTTTATCTACGGTTCAATAAAATTCAGGTCATTGCTCACACTAAGAGTTGTTGTATGGGTATTGCGGAACGTATTTGGCGTACACAGAGAATCCTACTGTCTACGGTATTTGGTTATTTTACAGCAGTGTTGCCAGTCTCTACTTTTCAAATTCCCTTCCGCAGTAAGCATAATTCTCGTAGAGTGAGGAATAAGTTTCGAGTTGTCGTCTGTCCCAGGGAATATTACTATAAATACGAATATCTTACCAATTTGACTAATATTAATATTTCTGCTAATAAATATAATTATGTCATAAACAAATTAATTAATTAATAATATAAACAACACAAAATCAGTAGGATAAGGTGTAATTTTAATATTTCAATATAACAAGGTCCAAGTTGTAACGTCTGGATAGTCATAACTGGTCATAAAGCACACTATTTATGAAACCGAATACTACAGAGACCTCAAGCTATCACATGAAACTTTCTGATATTTTTGGCGTGTTTACAGAGCAACTTAGCTAGCTAATTCCTGTCGAATGTTCAAAACCGTTTTTATAATCTTCCTCTTCATATTCCAGTGCAGCTGTACGCTTGTAGAAATCCTTAAATAGATTTTTTTGAATATGTTTTTATTCTTCTTCTTCTTCTTTTAAATTATGGCTTCTTTTGATAGAATTCTGCCAGTGTCAAGTCAGTCATAGAAGTGACAAGTTAATAATGGTTAAAATAAGAGTTCTAATTTTTATGAGTAGGTTCACAATCTACAACAAAAGACGTCACGTATTTAAAGTACCATCACCAAAGTTGTTAAGTAATTTTATAGTTTAATATTATTTGTACGAATAAAAGCACATAAAATATTCACTAAGAGTATAAGTAAGAGGAGTATACACTAGAGTCAGCAAATATTGGAAATTTACAGGACGTGGGATGTAATTGGGCAGGATATATAGAGCCTCTTTTGTTCGAGATCTTGGTGTAATTTTAGACCAAAAACCCCACTTCGATTTACGTTTAGAAAAAATTATAAGCAAAGCATATCAACTTATGGTCTTCTCATAAGATTATCAAACAAATTCAAAAAGCCTTCAACATCTTTGTATTGGCTTAAGTCCTTGATTCAGCCGCAATTAGAATATGCTTGTGTTATATGGGACCCCCACTATGCAAAATATAGTGAAGCCATAGAAAGAGTTCAAAGCAAGTTTTTATGCACCATGCATTATCGTCTTAAATATTTTACCCTTTCATATGATAAACGTCGTGTTAAATATAACTTAGTCACAATGAGATCGAGACGTTTATTATTGCAGGCTATGTTTTTGTTTAATATTTGTCATAATAAATTTGATTACCCAGCGCTTTTAAACCAGATAGGATTAATAGTACCTCGCCATAATAACTTACGCAGTGTATTGCGTGTTCGCCGTTAGAGCTCGTTTTAATGCCGGCAAACGCATACCACTGCGACGGTTGATGTCAGTATATAATGATAAGTTTTTAGATATAGATATTTTTGCAACATCCTTACCCAAGGCCAAAAATAACTACTGTTACACTTAAAATAACATATATGTTATGATTTTTTTTCTTTATTAATATGTTACTTTTACTATGCATAAATATATTGTATAAGTTTAATTTTGTTTGTACTAAACAAAACCAAGTAAGACGTGAATAACGTAGTTGATTGTACAACTAACCATTCAAATTCTAATTTAAACTTCTATTCTTTGTAATTCTTATTGTACTCTTGTTTGTTGTCCCAAATAAATTAAAAAAAAATAGATATCATAGAGAGAGGAAGAAAGTTTAGGACATTCAACGAACAGATGATTGACAGATCCTTCGTCTAGGCCACACTCACAGATTGAGCTATCCCTAATCCTGAGTTTGGCCAAGTGTACAGGAGTACAAGCATGACCAAAGCGTAGGCGGCAAACAGTAGAGGTAGCTTTACTAAAGTGGCGATATTTAAAAAAACAGGGTTTTGATGGGATGTTATTATTTGGATTTTGGAATAGTGAATACATTTTAATAGTTTAGACTGATGCCAATTACTTTGCCAAGAGGACAGAAGGCCGGAGTTTGCCTTTGGCAGGAGGCCATGTGCATAGGGGCATTGTCTAGGGATAGAGCCAGGTTTTGTGGCATCTTTAGCTAAATTATGTGCAATTTCATTACCCTGAATCCCGCAGCCTTTCACAAGTCCACCGCTGAACATAGGCCTCCCCCAAGTAATACCAAAATACACGATCCTGAGCCACCTGCATCCATCGACTTCCTGCATGCCTTACCAGGTCGTCATTCCATCTACTGAGGGGTCGCCCTACACTACGCCTACCGGTACAAGGCTGCCACTCGAGAATCTTTTTTCCCCATCGGTTTTCGGTTCTTCGAGCTACATGGCAGGCCCATTGCCACTTCAGCTAACTAATACGTTGGGACTAGAGATCCAAGCCAATACAATGTTTAGTCCTTTTTATGACAGTAGTACAAAGACTTTCTAATATTTAAAATTAGGGGGTATCTAATCTTGGAGTGAAATGGACTGGATACAATACTTTGAAGGCAACTAAGGGAGTCCGAGAAAATGAGGGTCCTTTTCAGACCACGTGATTCTGCATATGAAATGTGCCTGTAAAATAGCCAAAGCCTCACCTGTGAATACAGATGAGTCAGGGGAGTGTTAAAATTTAAAATAATCCTG